AATGCTCTAGGGAGGCACTTTTCCCAGCCTGTTATTTTTAGGCAGCTCAGGGAGTGCAGTGCACTGCCACGCTGCCAGCACAAAGAGGAAGAGCAAGAATGTTTTTCTCAACAGATTTTAACTCCTTTCTAATGATTAGCACCAAAACTCTGAAATAATGAAGTCCATAACTAGAGAAACAAGCAACAGAAAGCATGACTCATTGCCCCCAAAAACACCTCTGTTGCTGTTCACACCCTAGTTTGGGGTTAGTATTTTTTTTAAACAGAAAGTTGTCCCTGACCAAGCTGGAGGAAACAGCAGCCAGAAGGGTCATGAGCACGTTTCCCTTGAGCTGAGGCAAAAAAGTCCCTGTGCAGAAGAATGTACAAAATAGAGCAAATGCTCTGGAAGCTCAGCTGAAGAGCTCAGAACCCCCAGGATCTGTGCTGAGCGGAGTAGGATGACAGGAACAGAGCAGGAGCCTCCAAGCCCCTCATCAGCCACGCATGGGTAGGAGGCAGCACTGGTGCAGATGGCAAAACGCTCACCCCAGCTGGGAAGGCCTCCAGCTTGAAGCCTGCTGGTTGAGGAGGATATGAAAGACAGTGAAATGAATCACTCAAGAAAGATCATCCCTCACTATGCAAAAGTGGATGGTAAATAGGGGGAAAAAAGTATTTGTAACTTGTTACACGACACCTACAAGTTGGTTTAATTAGTTCTTCTACAAGTGATGAAAATAAAGATCCAGCTTCAGGGAGGAAAAAAAAAATGCAAGTTACTTCCCAGGCAAGGTGAAAACCTTACACTTCAGCAAGACCAGCTGCTGAAACAGCTAAAATACATCCTGTTCTCATCCTTTCCAAGACCCAAACCCAACGGTTCCATGAAGAGATGAGAAACTGAAAGGGGTGTAGACAAACCACCACATCCTACCAGCTTCAAGAGATGAGAGCAGCCTATTTGTTTTCAGGAGGGAACCAAACAGTCATCAGAGAACCCAAGGCTCAATCGAAGCAGGACGTGATGCTGTAGGATGCTTTGTCATCACATCACAGGATTTCTGATTGAGCTTTATTCCCTGAGGAATTCCCTCACAGGTAGATGCAGTTTGCCTGAAAGCCCAGTGTCAGACACAAGAGTCACTGAATTATAAGTGGCAGCAAGTTCGCTCCAAAGCACTTAACCACAATAATCCTGTTCTAAAGCAACATAACTGACTTCCTTTAATGCCCCCAGTCGCCCTGGCTGCAGCAGACCCTGATCTGCCCTGCAGCCACACTCCTGACAGCTCATTTCCCACCTGCCCTCTGAGAGCAGGGGCTCTGCAAAGGTGCCCGCTCTGCAGGACAAGGGAGCACGAGAATGACTCCATGTGCAATCTTAATGCAGTTGTGGAGTAGATTCCACAGATAAATTATGGATATCGGGATACCAGAATCTCAGAATGGTTTGGGTTGCAAGAAACTTTAAAGCTCATCTCATTCCACCCCCCTGCCATGGGCAGGAACACCTTCCACTAGACCAGCTCGCTCCAAACCCTGTCCAACCTGGCCTTGGACACTTCCAAAGCCATCTCGAAACGTCTCTTTTTCTAAAGAAACTGATAATCTGGTGTTGTAGCAAACAGGATGTGGTAAGAAGAAAACAGCTAAGGTGGTTACGCACTCGGCTTCGAGACACGCTGTACTTCCCCAAGAGGCTTCTGCTGGTGGAGGAAGCAGCTTCTGCAGGAACAGCCGGCTCTGCCGGGCTGTCAGCGCTGCCAGAGCTCTCTTCTGGGTGCTCCGACGAGCTTCACGTCCTCTGACTCATCGGGCCATTCTTAGAGAGTTCAAGATCATTCTGGAGCATCGCCCCAGCAAACAGCAGCGCCAGTGTCAAGAGATGAGGGCAGCTTATTTGCCTTCATGAGGGAAAAGATGTAAATAGAGAACAGACGTTTGTTTATGCAAATATGATTAAGCCTTCAGGCCATTTTCACCCCTGGTGAGTTTCCTGCTCTTATAGTCTGATCCTAAAGGTTTTGGTTTCCAAGCCCAAGCTGCCCGTGTAGTTGCACACCTGGAGGAAGTGGCAGGGAGGAAATTTAGGCTAAGCTTTGACAGTGGGACCTGGAAAGCATTGACCCTAAAAGGATTTTAGGGCTCTTTAAAGATAAACACTTGCAGATGATGAGACCAGCATCATAATTAGACACATTCATAGGGAAAGATCCACAGGAACGACTCTGCATGACATCAGAGCCCTTGTATCAGACAGCTGATCAAAGCCAGGGTTTACATTTGAAAGGATACCGAAAACTAGGAAAAAAAACAGTGACCTGGAGCTGTGAGGAAGAATTTAGGTCTGGGGGAAAAAAGCTTCACGCTCCTCATCTACAGCACTTGCTACAGAAAAAACAGGTAGCACGATGCAGTTTTATAGTCATTTTAAGAGGATAAAGCAGTGGATACTGGATGGCTCTTCAGCTGAGGAAGTAATGGTCCCGAGGAGCCGGCAGAAAGGGATGAACCAGCAGAATTACAGCTCAGAGATTCACTTTGCCCGGGTTCATTTAGACTCCACCCCACACCTGCATGCCCAGGACCTGCCCTACCTGTGGTCTGGCCACATCCCTGCCATACAAACAGACAACAAGCAGAACAAAAAAGTGATTAGACTTTTAATTACCTCCCTATATTTCTTTTCACAGCCTTTTTGCATATTGTTTGCCTAAAATTGCAGGTACTTTACCACAAGCAATTATGCTAATGTCTGGAAACAGAGCTAATTGAATGGTAAAGAACACGCTAGAAAATGCAATAAAATTTAAATGAACAACCACAGTAAGGAAATAGAATATTTTCCAGTGCAATGCCAAGTCTGCTGTTAAAAACAGTCGTGTTTAGCTTTAATCTTTTTTTTTTAATTCCATTCTAAATCCTACTTCAGCTTCAGAAATAATTGAAACTCCAGCAAAGTGGTAACAGAAGTGCTCCTCCTTTCCAGGTCATTCTGGACAAGTCCTGCTCTGACAGTACCAGGGGAGAGGAGGAGAAAACTCCTTCTCTCTGCACAGTTGTAGCTCTGCAGCTCAACATCCGGGCGAGAAACTAATATGTTAATGAAACTCCAGGCTCTAAAATTCCAGGTTCAATGACTATGACAAACATGGGGGGAAAAAAATCCTCCCAAAGTTCAATTACCCAGTTATAATTGCTGTAACTTATCAAAATAATCGCAACAATACTCACTGTTTCTCAGAACCAACTGGTAATGAAAAGCATTCAATTACATAAATATAAATATCCATTACATAGAAGTTGGTCTGTTTGACTTCTTTTTTTTTTCAGGGTTAAAAAAAAAAAAAAAGGACTTCTTCATTTCACTGTCCCCAAACAGGCTCAGTTGAAGCCAGGCTGTGTTTGGTTGCTTAAAATTCCGCTTATTTTGCAACTGCCGCGCTACAGCAAAATATTAATGATTCAGCACAGACATCTGAGCTGAGGCACACACTGAGGTGTCAGTGCAAGCAAACGAGGTATCTGTGCATTTATGTGGTAAAATTTTTGGCCACAATACGAAGTCATAGTTTCATGCACAAATACAGACCACACATCAGCCCAAAGATGCCCCCATGTCACCGCCTTTCCTAGGAAACGAGGTACAGCAGCACTGTGTTCATTGCAGTCTCAGTGCATTTCAGACAGGAATAAAACCATTGACCTCCTTGAGTTTTCCCAACCTGCTCCCCATTTTGCAAGACAGGAGCAGCTGTGCTGTCCCAGCCAACCCACTCCTCAGATCTGCTGGACAAAGATTTCACAAGCCTCTCATGAGATCCATTCCCTGCTTTACTACCCACCCTGCTACTAAAACAGGTTTCTTTGTATCCAGATTTTTCTTACTTGAGACCTTAAGTCTCTGGAAAATGGACTGCAACAGCTTCTCTGGGTTTGAATAATGTTCAACCTCACTTCTCCCTTTCGCCACCCACGTCACACCCTATTTCAATACTTCCCTGTAGGTCACATTTAACAGACTGCTCAGCAAGGTCTGCTCATTCCCACTGCTCTTTCCTGGACTCTTCCCAGCAGGTCCATGTATATTTTGTAATCCAGTGCCAGAATGGACACAACATTCTGCCAGAAGAGGATTATTTCACATGCCTCACTGGCAACAACCCTGATTTTATATTTAGTTGTGTGATCCAGCTGAGCCAACGCAACCCAGGGCTTGTGTCACAGCCAAGTCACTGAAACACGTCCACCCACCCCGAGGTTCTGCACCCTGTGTTTGTGTGATTGCTCCAGCACAGCTGGGGAGGGCACTGCTGGATCTGACTGTGGAGCACTGCAATTTTCCCCTCCTGCAGTTTATGGAGTGTTTGTAACTCTGCCCTTGTCCTCGGTGTGGTCACAGCACGCCAGCAGAACACAGAAGTTCCCGAGCCCTGCGCTCACAGTTAACTAAAACACTGATCTCTGACGTTCCTGTGCAAACTCCCTGGATCCACCCTTCCAAGGAATACTGATTAACTGCTGAACAAGTCCACTTTCCCAGAGCTTCACCCCCAGCACAAAGCATTTTCACCCAGGCCACATCTCCCCTCGTTGTGAGCAAGAACATGAAGTCAGAGGGTCAAGACAATACATCTGGGATCTCTTCTACTCCTGCTCCCTTATCAACAGGCTTATTACCTCTGTAGAGGAAAAAAGTTTAACTGATGTGACACATTATATTGTTGACAAGCCCATACCAAGTAATATAATTTTCTCTTTGATGTTTCCAAATAATTTAATTATTTTCCCGGTAGTTTTCCAGAACCTGAAGTTGACAGATTGCCTTGCTTCGTCTCCTTCCCTTTCACAACATTTTGTTTTATTGAAGACCTTTGTTTTACTAAATCCTGTCCATAGTCCAGGGTTCTTCAGACCATCTACAGCACTGATTTCTCAGCAGTCATCACAGAGAAATGTAAAGACCAAGCCACACTTTAAAATATTTAGGTAACATTCGATTGCAATATGACTTACCAATTTTCTGATGAAAGATCTTGTCAAAGGTTAATTCACCCCTTTCCTCGAGGTATTTCTGCATAACACTGCGGATACTGAAGGAAAAAAAAGAAGAGGAAAAAAAAAAAAGAAGAGTTACTTCAAATTGCTTTTTTTAAATCAGACCTTTACTATACTGTAAAGAAAAGGATCAATGAAATTAAATATCCACCTAAAAGACTGGACAAGCTGGATCAATCGGCTGAGGGCAATGAGCTTCAACAAGGTGAAGTGCTGGGTCCTGCCCTTGGGTCATAACAACCCCACACAACACTCCAGGCTGGGGGCAGAGAGGCTGGAGAGCTGCTGCTCATCAGAAAAGGACCTGAGGATGTGCCCAGGTGGGCAAAAGGCCAATGGCACCTGGGCTGTACCATCTATGGTGTGGCAGCAGGACCAGGGCACTGCCCATCCCTGTGCTGGCACTGCTGAGGCACCTCCAGTCCTGGGAACAGTTCTGGGCCCCTCAAGACAAGAAACACATTGAGGGGCTGGAGCATTGTCCAGGGAAGGGAACAGTGCTGGGAAAGGGTCTGGAGCACCCGGAGCAGCTGAGGGAGCTGGGGGGGCTCAGCGGGAACCTCCTCGCTCTCTGCAACTCCCTGACAGGAGGGGGGAGCCAGGTGGGGGTCAGGCTCTGCTCCCAGGGAACAAAGGACAGGATGAGATAAAACGGCCTCAAGCTGTGCCAGGGGAGGTTCAGGTTCCCCCCAGGGCAGGGACCATATCAGGTCTGGGCCTCAGGATGATCTCTGGGGTCAGAGCACTTCCCAGGGGACACCCTGGTCACCACTTCGATTCTTTATTCCTGCATCAGGTTTCAGCTCCTGTAAAACAAACGCACAAGTCACTCCGAGCTGCCTCAGGCTTTAACACCGGAGCTGCCAGGGATCAGCAGAAAAGGAGCCAACAGCAGCTCCATTAGGCACCTCACTTGGCTGCAGTGCACTTAACATCTACTTTGCCTAATTTATAATGTCACAATCTCTCATTTAAACCACATTAACAAAGATTTCCTTTATTTGTCAAGTAACCTCAATATTCATTGTAATATAATGCCTATAAAAATTTCATATGGGCAACAATACAAGTACATAAATTTTAAAATCAATGCAGGCCAGCAGTGCTGGGCCTTAATAAAACAACTCTATTGTCACAGTATCAAGTCAAAATTCCACTGGACTTTCTCTGTTTCCAATTTTAAAACTGATATTTTCATACATGCTATGTATTATTTTAAAAATAAGCTTGTACAAAATACTGATGCTCTAAACCATTAAATATCACTCCTATTTCTGTAGTAGCAAGACTGAGCACCTAATCCTTGTAAAACACAGACTCCGAACTATTTCATGTGGGATAAAAATGAATAGGTCGGTTCTTGCAGATAAATTTTAACATTTTCAGAAGAACAACTGGATTTCTGCGGTTATTTCTCATCCATTTTTTTCTCTAAGGCCTCTTCATTAACAAGTAATTGTGCAGTCATGGTGAGCAGCAGAGCCCTGCTGACCTCAGAGACCATCCCCTCTCTTGTGCTCACAAAGACTCCATTACCTGAGCCTCACAATTATTAACAAATAATAATTATTAACAAATACCTCGTCCATTGAGGGAGGAAAGTATCCACACTCCTCCTGAAACGAGGGCCTGAGGCACAAGGAATTACTTGAACAGAAAAAAATCTATAATAAAAGCCAAGAACTTTGCTGGAAGGCCCTAAACCCCAATCCAGGAAACTATCCTATTAATAGTTTTACTGTATATCTCCAAGGCCCACATGGAACACGGATCTATGAACACTGTGATCCAAAGCGAGAACTCTGGAGGCCAACCACCACATCAAGTTAGACAAGAACTGGGAGGGCTGAACACTGTTAATCAGGTTTGAGATGATAAATTATTCAGTGACGAACTTGCTGTTTATTTGTTCTTTAAGAACTGGGTCTGCTCTCTGTGTATTTTAACAACCTAAACAAAATACTGATTTCAAACGAAGAGGGAGCAGTAAATAGAGATCACAGAATCCCAGGCTGATTCGGGTTGGAAGGGACCTTAAAGCTCATCTCATTCCACCCGCTGCCAGGGGCAAGGACACCTTCCACTAGAACAGATTGCTCCAAGCCCTGTCCAACCTGGCCTTGAACACTTCCAGGGATGGGGCAGCCCCAGTTCTCTGGGCAAACCGTGCCAGGGCCTCACCACCCTCACAGGCAGGAATTTCTTCCTAATATCTAATCTAAGTCTTTTTCCAACCAAACCTTCCCCCTTGTCCTGCTTACAGAAGGACCCTCTTGTAGATAAACAAGCTTGTTCTGAGTCACCAAAGCCCCCAAGTTCCCCCTCCTCAGCCTCCTGGCTGCCCCGAGCCATCAGCGCTGCCATCACAACCAGCACTGTCCTGTTCCCACTGACCACCAGACCATTAGTAACAAAATAAGCCTTTTTCATAATAATGACATGAAGAAAGCTTTCCTCTGCTCCAACAAGTGCACTGCAAGAAATTACATCAACAGATCTTAATCTAGACAATGGGAGAAGACAATGAAAATTTAACGTGTGACTGAAGTGCCCATGAAAACACTGATTGTGTAACGAGCAAATCTCTCCAGCGCCTCTCCTCCTCTCCCGACATCTCGTACTTCTGGTCTGATGGATAACGTGTCAAAGGAACAAAACGTTTTTTTGCAGCTACAGAATCTGAACAAATCTGTAAAATGATCACAGGAGTCCACACTGCATTCCAGCTCCTCAGCAACACTCCCACCCCTTTAAAATCATTTCTCCTTATCCATATGAGTAAATAGGAATAAATTACATGGAGTGGATTACGACTATCCAGAACAATCACCTCCTAATTCTCACATGGAAGTTAAAAGGTAGAAATCCTATAGAGTTCAAAGAAACAAAGCAGAGTCCGTGTATCCTTCACAAGGATGGAATATTTTAAAATGGAGCTTAGCACATTATACAAACAGGAAGGAAGGTTCCCTCTCTGCTTTTGTCTATTGACTCATTAGTTGCCCTACACGTAAACAATCTGGGACTAAAAGCCACATTTCACAGAAAAGCAGCCATTTCTGAAAAGCCTTCCCTGGCCAGAGATGCCGTCAGCGCAAACCATGCGCTAATGCGAGAAGTGGCCGCTTTTGCACGAGTTCATCTCAGTTCACAGCATGATCTACCTTAATAGCAGCACTCAAAATGGTCAGAAACAAAAGTTGGCTAAAAACGAAATCCAGGGAGACTTCGGAAACAAAAGTATATCTGACTGGACTGCAGCAAAAACCTCTTGAAAAAATACCAAACAGCAAAAAATTTAGACACGCTCCATTTGTGGTCCACAGGCCCCAAGTCAACTGAAATACTAGGACAAGTATATTTAGGACAAATCAAAAATCAGGATTAAAATGTTGTGAGAAATGCAACTTGGACTCTGGGTACCTCTTTATGGGTACCTTTTTCTTCATGGAAAGGGAGGTCAGGCATTGGAAGGGGCTGCCCAGGGAGATAGTGGAGTCCCCATCCCTGGAGGTGTTCAAGAACAGCTGGAGGTGGCACTCAGTGCTCTGGTCTGGGTGACAAGGTGGGGATCAGTCACAGGTTGGACTCTGTGATCTTGAAGGTCTTTTCCAACATCAATGATTCTGTCACCATGATTTGCAGGTTTAACTGGGCCCACATTAAGCAGGTACCTGGGAGCACAGCAAAGCCCCAGGGCCAGACACCCAGCAGAGCCCACCCCATGGTTGGTCAGAGAGAACTCATGTAGCAGTGACACAGTAAAGTGGTTTTGGAAAATGAGTATTTTTGCAAATGAGACACATATATTGACCCTTAGCAATGCCAACAGTTCCCAGGTAGCACTGGTGCCAGGGGTGTGGGCAGCTGGGTGCTCCTGCATCTCTTACAGCCCCTGGGTGAAGCTGCCCTCAGAGAATGATCTGAACAAACACCCTAGGGCTTGCAGAGAGGGTCAGAGAGCGCTGCCTGCCCAGAACAGGCAGGAGGATGACTATCTGCATCATCATCAAACCATAAACTCTGCAAACAGCACAGGTCATTCCAACCTGGGCAGCTCCTCCGCCTCGCCAGAAAAGGGATTTATGTCAAGCATGAGCTGAAAAGTCTGTTAAAAGGAGCTTCAAGCTCCATCTTGACGCTCTAGATACTCCAGCCAGTATCCTGGTCTTTCAGACTTGATCAAAGAAAGCCGCTGAAAAGCAACCTTCAAGGTTAAAATCCATTCTGGAATTAAACAGCTCTTGCTGCCTACGACAGCCTGGCAGGGCACAGGCAGCAGTTGCAGTGCCAAGGTCGGTACAAGCGGAAAATGTCTACTCCAAGACACGTCTGAAAAACTAAGAAGAAAACACATTATGTTCTTTCCAGCACAGAAAAGGACATGTGCACAGCAAGAGCATCCGCAATCCTCCCTCTCAGATGAGCTACAGCAGCAGCAGCAAACCAGAAGGTCCCTTGGAAAGGAGCTCACCCAGAGCCAGGACTTGTCCTTGGCTGCAACCAGAGCCAGTGCCAACAACAATCAGTCTTGCTGTTGGCCTGTAACAGATCAGGAATAGTCTGTGACTCCAAGGATAAGCATGGCACTCAGGAGAAATTAAACTTCTACTGGGAGTACCAGTGTGTCTGCCACAGAAGAGCCTACAGGATGGCCACTGGAGCCTAAGGAATGGCCCATCAGGCAGCCACAGTCCACACGGGCAGCAGGAGCATGACCACAGTGGATTTGGGAATATGGAGAAAACAGGAGTTGCAGAGGAGAGGAAAAAAATTAGCACTTTTTTCGGTATCTCCAAGACAGATAGGGAGGGACTTTTTCCAAGAGTACATAGTGACAGGACAAAGGGAATGGCCTCAAACTGAGAGAACATTTAAATCAGGTATCAGGAAAAATTTCTTCCCTGTGTGAGTGGTGAGGTCTGGCACAGATTGCCCAGAGAAGCTGCGGCTGCCCCATCCCTGGAAGTGTTCAAAGCCAGGTTAAACAGCTCTTGGAGCAACCTGTTAAAGTGGAAGGTGTCTCTGACCCTGG